TTACATATTGTTTTTTGTGAGAAAACATAACAATTAACTAAGACGAAGAAAATAAAATCCACCTAAATCTAAAATCATTAACAAACTATTTCATATTGTTTTTGTTTCCAGAGAAAACATAACAATTACATAAGCACAATAATAACTAAAGAGGGGGAGAATAAAGTCCATGTTTGCCTCCATACTGAGAGAAAAACCAAGTGCATCTTAAATAGACACGAAGCGGCATTCTGCCTAATTCTTCCTGGTTTAAAAAGATGACAAATCCTCTCTTCGATAAGAATTTAAGAGATGTCTAAAAGTCTCTATCTCTGGACGCTAGGAGAATCATACCTAAAACAACAGAAGAAAAATTACATTTTATTAATACAAAAATAAAATAAAAAACATCAGATATACCTGGAGCACGTAATCGTAAGCATGAAACTTCATACGTCGATCCAACACAACATCTGCTAGATTTTCACCCTTGAGTATCTAGTTTAGTTTTCTTTGCGGTCAATGTGGTGGTACTGAAAGACAGTGGTGAAACTGAAAAGTGGTGATACTGAAAGACAGTAAAGCTTTTAGGACAATATTGATATTTATGAGCACACCATAGACATTGTGGGAGTTGAAACCAACACAATATAATTTGTTAAGGTTTTTAGAGGAAAGCTGAAATCTCTGGTCCAGAACCAAGAAGACAAGAACAAAGAGGTAAATTTACTGTAAAGAAAAGTTAATTAACTTTTGCAAAGTGTTTATGAGTAAAATTGTGGATCCCTTTCTCAAAAGATGTTTAAGTCTATTTATAGAAGTTTTAGGTCGGCTAGGCCAACTCCTCAAGAGATAAGGAAGAATTCCTAATTTCTAGGGATTTCCTATTGTTGAAGTCGGCTCTGATTACGGGCTTTATCTTCGTGGGCTTTGAGTTCGTCGCGTATCTCTTTGAAACTTGACCTCGCCGACGTTGTGTCTTGGGCCTTGGACTAATTGAGCTCGTCACTTCGTCCTCGTTGATTTTGGGCTCATCGTCTCGTCGTAAACTCTTAATTTGGCCCAATTCGTCTTTATGACAAATGTGCCTAGCTCTGCCTATAGCAAGTCCCTTGGCGAGCTCTCTATTTCAGCTCGTTCATCTAGCCAGCTCGCCAGTTGGTTTGTTTCATCTTGGTCAGCTCGTCAATACAACTTGTTGACTAAGTCAGCTCGCCACTNTGTTCATTGACTTAGTCAGTTCGCCACTCTGCTCATTTACTTGGTCAGTTCGCCAATTCTGTCTGTTGATCAAGTCAGCTCGCCCATTCGACTGTTCAGCTCGCCCATTCGACAGCTCGTCAGCTGCCCATTCGACTGTTCAGCTCGAGCTCGCCCATTAAGCTGTTCTGCTTGTCAGCTCGCCAATAAAGATGTTCAGCTTGTCATCTCGCCGATACAGTTTATCAGCTCGCCAAGAAAATGATACTTAGCCGTTTTCTTGATGATTTCAGTCGAAGGGAGTTTTGACCCCAACAGTTAGCCCCCCCCCAGCTTGGCAGTATTGGTTACATAGTGCCGAGGTGAAAGAATTCGAAGCAAAGGTAGCAAGCTTAACTTCACATTGCGATAGCGTCGAGCTGGAGTGTTTTGGTTATTCGCCAATGCTGCCGAGCTCTCATATTTTCGTAAATGCTTAGCTAGGCTTTTAACGTTTGCTAAGTTTATTAGACTTGCATTCGCTGAATCTTGCGAGCTCAAACTTGTTTAAAGTTTGCGAGCTCAACTTGTTTTGTCAAAGTTGGTGAGCTCAAACTTGTTTTGCTAAAGTTTGGCGAGCTAAACTTGTTTTGTTAAAGTTAGCAAACTCAAATGTTTACGTTATAGAAATATGCCGTCTTGCCAATGTTGCCAAGCTCACATGTTCAGTAAATGTTTTAGCTCGACAAAGACTTCTTGAATTTTTTTTTTTGTTTCTTAAGTTGTTGAGCTCGAGTCTGTTTTGCAAAGGCTGCCGAGCTCATATACTTGGGATGCCGAGTTTGGCTTAACTAGATTTTAGTTGACCGAGCTAAAACATTTGTCTCGACATTTGAGCTTGTTACTTCGTCGTTGGTTGCGAGGTTGGCCTTGTCTTCGATGGAGAATTTGACCTTGTCTTCATGGTGAGCTTGACCATCTTTGCGACGAGCTCGGGGTTGCCAAACTTGCCGGTTAGTAGCTAGTAAGGTCGGCCAGATTCACAAGTCCTCACGATAATTGACGTAACTTTCTGACCGTTGTACCAAATGACTTCAAATTTCTTTAGGATGAAAACTTACCCAATTATCTATATCGTACTAAAATTGCAGCTTAATTCAAGAAATTTAAGGCGTTTTGCCGAGCTTTTCTCTCAACCTCGGTAGGAATGAGGTTATTTCTTCAGCTCGGCATATCTTGCGAAAACTGATGTATCTTTCTACTCGTTAGTGAGATTGTTGACTACTTGGCGAGGTTAACCGTGAAGTAGTATTGACGCCTGGTTGGATTTCAAGAGTTCGACGAGGCAGATTCTAGAGTTGAAGTAGAGTTGCGGTGAACCGAGGTTCGAGTTTGGTTTGTTAGTTCCTTAGAAGCCTAATCGAAGAATCCCACTTAGGTTAAAGTACTTCTAGCTCGAGATTGATATGTCACGTGAGAATTCTTTTGATGAAGCCTAATTTTGGTTTACGATAGCGACCGGAATGTAACTTATATAAATAGACTTGTAACTCCTTTGGAGTTGTTTTGTGTCGAGAAGGAGTCGAGTGCTTGCCAAGGTTGTCGTATCAAAGAGAATTTGAGAGCTCGCCAAGTTTGATTTCCCTCCAAGCTTACTTCAAGGTTGAATTAGTTTGATTTGTCGAGGTGATTTTGTATTTGCCAATGTTGATTTGAGAGCTTACTGAGGTCTCTCTTTTGACGATATCAACTTCAAGAAGAAGGCCTCGCCGAGGTCCCTTTGCCGAGACCTCTCTTTGGCAAGGTTTCTTCTTGGTGAGGTCTCTCTTTGGCGAGTTTTGTCACTTAGAAGGATTTTGTGATTGAATTGATGTCGAGTCCAATGTTTTTTTGTCGAGTTGGTTCTCTCCGACGCTGAGTCAAACTCTTGGCTTCATCCCACATGTTGTAGAATGAGACGAGATGGTTTATGAATATGACTTTTGATATTGTTATCTTCTAGACTTTTGAT